AGAGATGGCTGAACAGGAGGTAGGAGGTAGTTGAGGCGGCTGAAGGGAGGAAGGGTGAGGATGGTGCTGATGTCACTGGGGTGTGTCTGAAGAAAAGTGAAGCCCTTCCAACGACAGTAGCAAGGCATAGATTTCTGATAATCAGCTGTATGCTTAAGCTGCCAGTGTGTTGCTAGTACGGTCCTGGAACCAATATATTGTATTATGCCACATTATGTTATGTACTACTAGTCTCCTACTATATTAATTCGGATCTGGAACCTATGTATGTATTAACTTATGTCTGGAAGCCTGGTCTGCTAGAAATCGAAATCATCAGTGTATTAGAACACATAATATTTTCTACTTCACAATATGCATTATGTGCCCTACTGATTTGTAGACACATAGGACTGCATCATATATATTTTTGGTTTTCTACTTTAGTTTCCCAAGAACGTAAATAGAGTGATACACAAATCATATATATTTTTAGTTTTCTTTTGTAATAGTTTCCCAAGAACGTAAATAGAGTGATATACATTCTCTGAAACATTTCTTAGCTCTTGATTCTTACTCTCCGACGTGTCGTAATATCGTTGTCCCCATGTATCTCCCTGTCTCTACTCTATTGAGTCATGTGATTATTATTGTATGTGATTATTATTGTACGAGTGTTTATGTCTCTACTCTCTACTGATTCACGTGATTATCATTGTACGAGTGTTTAAATATTTAAGCTATAATTTTTTTTCATGCACCCATGTACACATTTATGCATGGTCCCTTGTTCCAATTGATGATTTGGTGAAGACATACTTAATCAGTGAGCATGGCCGTCCGTTGTCTCCACAATAACCTGCTACCAGCAAAAAACTGCTACCTCATTGCATCTTGGTTCATACAACTAGCAAAAAACTGCTACCTCATTGCATCTTGGTTCATACAACTACCAAAAAACCGCTACCGCGCTAACATCTGTGCGTGCAAAATATGAACCTAGGTTCTACATTAGTCGCATGTTCGGTTGTGCGGTTGATGCTATTTTGTTGTGAAAGAAAAACACTATACCCTGGCTTATAATGAGGACTGATAAGTTCAAGTGAAGGCGAGTACCTATTTCACGACAATAGGCAAACACAAATTATACACTGGCCCAATTTAGTAAAGGCATGTTGGCGTGGCATTGTTGCGCCCCTTTTTCTAGTAGAATGATATAATCGAGTAGGCATCCTGAAGTTGAATGACTTCGATTTTGCTCTACCTCTTTTGACCAGACTTTTTCTTGGAAGCAACCTTTTGCTGGGAGTAATTCCTGACGAGCTTATATATTGTTCCGTTGGTGCTATTCCTCCTAAAATACGCTTTCTTATAACAAGCTAAGAGCATCTCCAAGAGTACCCAATATTTTCTTCTAAAAAAAATCATGTTTTCCAACTCTCGAAAAGTTCTGGGAGGAATAAACTCAAAGAATTTTCAATAATTCACTCCCAAAATATCAAAATTTTGGTCCAACACACAATTTTGTTGGCGGCAGTTTTTTTTTTTTTTTTGGCGCGAGATCGTCGCCGCCACCTCCCATGCTTCTGCCGAACTGCTCGCTGCTGCCTCTCCCCTCCCAGCCGGCCGCCAGCCACAGCAGGCTGGGAGCCTGGGAGCGTCTCCCTGCTGGCCATCATTCGCGTAGGCTAGACGTCATGAGTACTTCCAAATCGTTTCTTCAAAGAGAATTGAATGATTCAGATGAGGATGACTATGTCATCTTGTCAGCAAGTTGAGAAAACAAGTTCATCCTCGTTCGGATTGAATTTTTTGCCTTTTATAATTTGGCCTTGCAGCGCGTGGGCGTTCAACACCATGCCTGCACCACTTCAACTGTCATCCACTCCTGCGACCATATTTGTCCAATATCCACCCCCAAACATTGGGACAGAGCCTACAAATATTGATGAATAAATCAATACCAAGCCACGGACAGGCAAACAACCGGCCAGGACACGAGAACCAGGCAAGCCGCATCCAGGCATGGCCATGGCTAGGCCGGGTGCACAGCAGTTGACCACGGCCAGGCCAGGGCGCCCAGCAGTCGGCCACGGCTGGCCGCATCCAGACGTGGCCACCGGCGGCCATGGCCCTCCGGGGGGGGCGGCCGCTGGCTGGGGTGCCTAGGGGCGGCCACAAGTCGTCTAGGGCAAAGATGAACGAGTTGAGGCGATGGATTACCTCTTCCCTAGGTCGGTGGCGGTGAAGATGGGCTCCTGGACGGTGTGTAGTCGATGGCGCATGGGAGAAGAAGCACGGGAAGGAGACCACGAGGGAAAAGTCATGCCACGGGAAGGATACGCGTGTGATGGAGTCCGCGGATATATCCACGCAAAGGGGGAAGTTTTTCCAAATGCCAAAATATTAGGAGGTTAGATTGGGAACGCAAAGGAGGCAAGAAAAACAAGGATCAGGAGAAAATATTGGGAACTCAATAATTATATCATTGGTGTCATCCCGCCAGCCCTCAGAAGAATCTCAACATTAGAAATAGTGGATCTTTCCATAAATCAACTAATCGGAAGCATCCCCAATGAAGTTTGGAAAATGCCAAACATAATGAATTTGAATCTAGGAGAAAATGCGAAAGGACATGTGAGCCTCAATAGCAACGTCATTGTGCCTCGTCGATTGTGGTGACTTTGCGAAATGCTCATAGAGTTTGAGTGCGTGCGTTCATAGGGGATGAGTGTGCGCGTGTTGTGAGCTCCACTAATACGCTAAGCAGAACATTACCATCAAACATAAACATTGGCGATACTCTCCCTAATCTCCAATCACTCTACTTAGGAGACAACTATTTTGAAAGCCGCATTCCAACTTCCGTGGGTAATCCTTCAAGCCTAGAAATCGTAGATCTATCTATGAATTATTTTGCTGGCCATATCCCAAGCTCTTTTGGAAACCTCTCACGCTTGGATTTTCAAAACCTTGAGTTAAACATGCTTAAAGCGCGAGGGATAGTGGAGGCTGGGTATTTTCCTCGATGCCCTCGCATGTAAGTATTTCTCTAAAAATGTTTTCGCTGTCCACAAATCAGCTACACAGAGCTATACCAAATTCGATTGCTAATCTGTCGGTGGAAACAGACTATCAGGAATAGTTCCCCAAGCATTGCAAAACTTAGTGGCTTGGTTCAAATATCATTGGGCCAAAACAATCCAACTGGTACAATTAACGAGTGGGTCGGATGGATGACAAATGTACAGCATTTAAATCTCAGATCGAACAGCTTCAGAGGAACAATTCCACCGTCCATGGGAAACCTTAAACAACTGTTGAATTTGTACCTTAGCTATAACGATTTCCAAGGCAGTATTCCTGCTAAGTTTGGCAACTTGAGAAAACTCACTATACTAAATCTTTCATCAAATCAAACAAATTAAGTGGGGCCATTCCACCTTCTATTGCCCATCTTACACAATTGGTACATCTCTATCTAGACCAAAATCTATTCTCTGATCTTTAACCACGTTCCTTAGCTTGTAAGATTATGAAAGGCTTTTGCCCAAAATGATGTAAATGGATTGATTTTTTTCACTGGTATGGTGTCCGTATTAAAACTATGATGATACTGAACATATATTACGGATGAGTTGACAAATTCCTAAGATAGCCAATTACCAAAAAGAAATTGTGAGGAAAATCGAACTGCAGCCCAGACTAATAAAGGATCTTCAGGACCACTCCCAATCTTGGACCATATCCGGCTATCCGCTCTGATCAACGCTGAATGAAAGTGGGCAGGGAGCCAAGGCTTCAAGGGGTCAAGCCATTCCCTTCAGAAATTCCTGCGAGCCTAGGTCCTCCAGCCTTTCTGCTGTCTCCAAAACCATGTCCCTCAGATCATTCTGGTACTTAGTTACCCTGCAAAAATAAAATGTCACAACAGTATAGTGTAACGGCCTGGAAACTTTCTAGAGATGACTACTATGCACAGTGTCAACATGAAACAGGTATGGAACGCTGAAAGGCAAAGGTTGATTAGAGAAATTAAAAATTGGCAACTTCTACATTCAGATAGAAACACCTAGACACTCACAAAGTCAGGAAATGAAGCCCGACTCTGAGTGCCCCGGCGAGCAAGAGCCCACCCACCCCAACTCACCGGCGTCCCTTCCGGCGCCGGCGGCCACCCCAGAAAAGACAGAGCCCGCCTCGCTGTCCGCGCCCTGTGGGCCCCTAGTCGGCGAGCTGGTGGAGATCGAGGAGATCGACGAAGAAGAGCTGCTTGACTGGGGAGATGCAGAGGAGGCAGACGCCATTGATGAGCCCTCCTCTGCCACCATCGATGCTGCAGGGGATCCGATGCCTGGATCCGGCTCTCCGGCAACCACCGACACGCTGATGGAGCTTGGCAACCTGCGGGGCGGGATCTGACGGATCCCCCGCTGCAGCGATGGCTGCTGTCTCGATTCCATCGCACCCCCATCCGAAGCCTGAAGACCCGACGCGGACCGGAGGCGCAGCTCCGGCCAAGCTCAAATCGGTGCTTGTCCAGCCTACCCGCGTGCTTGCATCGCCTGAAGCTCTGAGGCGACCTCGGAAGACGATCTGGCAGCGCGTGGATCTGAGCGCTCTTTCCTCAGACGGCCCTTCCTCCATGGCTTCCGGCTCACCCAAATGGCAAAAGGCAAAGACAGGACGCCGGAAACGCACAGCTCCGGACACCGCCGCACCCAAGGCGGCGGCCAAAGGTGCCCAACGCGGCTCGGGATGCCTTTAAGAGGTGCTTCGCCGGGAGATGTTTTCGCTGCCTCGCTTCCGACCACAACGTCGCCAAGTGCCGAGATCCAGTCCGCTGCATCCTCTGCCGAGGGATCAGGCATTTCGCCTGCTCCTGCCCATCTCGCCAGCCGCACATCATCTCGGCCCAGCTCCGCGCTCGCCTCACCTTCCCCCCGGAAAGCATCCACAGTCACACTGTATCCCCCCCGCTCCCAGATCCCGCCCACCCCATCGCCGCTGCCAAGCCCGACATGGCGCACCTCGCCCGTCTGCGCCCTGTGCACCACCGCATCAGCATCGTTGCCGGGATGCAATGCACTGTGAGGCAACCAGACTCAGGGCTCACGCCGCCATCATCTCCTCATCGCCGGCGGGCTACTGCTCCAATGCATCGGAGGTGGCCTATTCTCTGGCCAGATAGCTGCATCTGGCTCGGCAAAGCATCCGCGTCACCAAGTATGGCCCTGGAGAGTTCGTGGCGGAGTTCGGGGAGCCGCAGGAGAGGGATCGTGCCCTCTGCAAGGGGTGCATTGAGACTGAAGGCTCCATCTTCCCCATCCGGCCGTGGCTCTCGGCTGGGGGTGGTCTAGAGCGCACCTGGTGGTACCAGGTCAAGGTCACCATGGAGCACGTCCCGCTGGAGGCTTGGAACGAGGAGGGAGTCAAGCTCATTCTTGGTGACTCGTGCATCTTTGACAGGTTCGACAGATGTATGCTGGCTCGGGAGACCTCGCAGTTCCTGACTTGCTGGGTCTAGATGGACGACCCCGAAGAGCTCCCGAGGTCCTTGGAGTACACCATCTTCGCGGCGCGGGCGGGGCAGGCCATGGAGATCAACGGCCTTGCGGCGCCGACGCGCACTCCATCCTCTCCTCCGATCGGGATGGGCGCTGACAAGACCATCCTCATCCACATGGCGGGATATGAGGATTGGAGTCCAAGAACACCTGACGACATAGGCTCCAGGACGTCTTCTGAGCATGACAGCTCTACACCAACTGTCGTGCCTTTCGAGTGGGCGGTAGGGGTCCTTGACGGGCAGCCAGCTCCGGCCAGGCACGTGCGTCCCGATGTCTGTCGTCCACCGCCAGAGCATAGGGCGCCTAGGGATGACGACAACGACGACGACTTCCGCGAACCGCCTCGCCGTGGAGACGTGCCCAAGAGCACTAGAGTCCAACAGCTCTCCCTGAAATGTCCTAATGGCTATGGCTAGAGGGGGTGAATAGCCTATTAAAAATTCTACAACAACACTTAAGCCAAATGGTTAAATAATTAAACAGCGAAGCGAGTGTTGCGCTAGCCTACTAAAATTGCAAGCCTTCTATCCACAATTCTAGTAATCTATGATCTCTATGTCACACAAGAGGCTAAGTCACTACTCTCTAAGTTAGTGAGCTCTCAAAGACTAACTAAAGAGCCTCACTAACCACTAACAAGACACAAGCTAGCTCTCAAAACTAACTACACTAAAGAGCTTAGTTACACTAGGAAAGTAAATACAAAAGAGGTAGTGAATTTTATACCGCCGTGGCAAGAGATACACAATCAATCACAAGAGAATTCTGGAGACAATGATTTATCCCTAAGGTTTACTTGCTTGCCGGCAAGCTACGTCCTCGTTGTAGCGATTCACCCACTTGGAGGTTCACGCGCTAATAGACATCACACGCCTAACCCGCAATCAGGTGCCGCACAACCAACACAAGATGGGGATTCACAAGCTACGAGCAATCCACTAGAGTACATTTTGGCTCTCCGCCGGGGAAAGGTCAAGAACCCCTCCCAATCACCATAATCGGAGCCAGAGACAATCACCTTCCTCCGCTCGACAATCCTCGCTGCACCAAGACGTCTAGGTGGCAGCAACCATCAAGACAAACAAGAGAAATCCACAGCGAAACAAAATCACCAAGTGCCTCTAGGATGCAATCACTCAAAGCAATGCACTTGGATGCTCTCCAATCTCACCAAATGATGAAACAATCAAGTAGGATGAGTGAGAGAGGATTGGCTAGGCTCACTAGGGTGTATTCTCAATAGAAATGGCCAAGAGTGTGAGCCCAAGCCGGTTACCACGTTTATAGAGCCCTCAACGAAATAAAGCCGTTAGGGTCAAAGGGGAGCTCTCCCTGCGCACTGATCGGACGCGTCGGTCGGAATGACCGGACGTGCGACGCCCAGCATCCGGTCGCGCATCGGTTGCCACGTGTCGCCGCTGATATCCAACGATCAATTACGCCCGTGCGACGCGTCAAGTAAAGACCGGACGCGCCAGCCTTGATCTGACGCTGCGCCACCGCGTCCGCTCGCACGCTTCCGCGCTGCCTTCGCGCCAATACCGGGCGCGCCACCAACATGGCGTCCGATCACTTCCAGAGGATCCAGAGCCGTATTTTCTTGATCGGACGCGTCAGATCCATCTCAACCGGACATAGGCCAGCGTCCGACCCTTCTGTCGCTGCGCGCCAAGTTCAAACACCCCCACGTCAGCATAGGTCACATGCGACCGGACGCAGGCCCTGCACGTCCGGTCGCGTGCTTACACCAGAGTCCGGTCAGGACCCGAGGCCACGCCACCTCTGCGCAACACTGACCTAACGCACTCCCTCCGAGTCCGATCACTTCGGGACTAGAGTCCGGTCCAGAGAAAAACAGTGCCTCCTCTTCTCCAACTTCGCCACCCTTGCTCCAATATGCCAACCACCAAGTGTATCACTTTGTGCACATGTGTTAGCATATTTTCATAAGCATTTTCAAGGGTGTTAGCACTCACTAGAATCTAAATGCATATGCAATGAGTTAGAACATCTAGTGGCACTTTGATAACCGCATTTCGATATGAGTTTCACTCCTCTTAATAGTACAGCTATCTATCCTAAATGTGATCACACCCACTAGGTGTCTTGATCACCAAAACAAAAAGCTCCTATTAATTATACATTTGCCTTGAGCTTTTTGTTTTTCTTTTTCTTCTTTTCCAAGCCCGAGCACTTGATCATCACCATGGCCATCACCACCATCATCATCTTCATCCATTTGCTCCACCACCTGGATTAGTGCTACCATATCTCATGATCACTTAGAGCAAAGGATTAGCACCTAGGGTTTCATCAATTCACCAAAACCAAACTAGAGCTTTCACTCCCCCAACTGCAGCTCGGAGAGCGCGGTCCGTGCTTGTACCCGCTCGCCGTCGGCCTACCGCCGGGCTTGGGATGGTGACCAAGCCCCAATGGACCGAGGGCGTTCAAGCAGCCGCTCGCCACGAAGAGTTGTGCGCGGGCGGGAGGCCCTCGCACACGCCTCGGATGACTAGGAGCGCCAGCGCTCGCGCTCCCCGGCTGCCCGAGCCTGGCAAAGATATCCGCGATTCGCTCCGTCGGTAAGCCGTGACCCACTGCTTGACTACTTCAGGGACTCGGACGGCGACAGGACGACCTTGTATCAGGAAGATGACCCGATGGCCCACGAGCATGCCTGCACCAGGCTGTCCAGAGCACCGCAGTGCTATTCGCTGGACGATAATGCCGACAACAGGGCTGGCTCTCCGGAGTCCAGACCCGTCAGCAAGCTGCAAGCCCCTCGGCCCGAGGAGGTGGTCTTCGGGCCAGGTGTTCAGCTCGATGCGCCTCAGCTATCCAACTTCGGCCCAAGCACCGAAGATGTCTCGGACGTGGATGATCCAGCCATCCGGGACGCCACAGACCGGCACAATTATGATGAAGAGACTGCAGAGGGGCCTAATGATTATGATGCCTTCTGTGCGAGGATATTCAAACCCGCCCCTGCTCCGATCCTACTGAGGCCGGACTTGCCTCCTCCGCCCCCTCCGACCAGCAGCAGAGGCCGGAGGAGGGCTCCTGCTGCCTCCACCCGCTCCAGTACGCGTCTGGCAGCCCGACCATCCTCGGTCCCAATTGCCGAGCGTGCCCAGCACAAGCTAATGCGCGAGCTGTCCTTCATCAACGACAAGTCGACGGCACCGGATGCAGCGGTCACAACATACATCGACATGTACGGTGACGGCCTCCCAGAGGAGGCGGTCAAGGCCATCAGAGTAGCAACCCGCATGGGGAACAAGGAGCTTTCCAGGGAGCTTGCAGCCATTGCAGCTGAGTCTGGAGCAGCAGAGATGGAGGCTCCTTAGATTTGCAGATGCAGAGGGAGCAGCAGCAGTTTCCTTTGATCAATGTATCTTAGGATAGAGCCAGCGCCGGCCGGTCCTCTACCGGTTCAGTTAGATTTGTTAATCAGTTGTGCTTGTCATTTCCGCAGGAGGTTAGTGTTTGGCTGGTGGGTTCCCAGAACGCGGCACTGGGAATTTGGGGGCTGTGGCCTGATGGCAGGTGTACCGCGCGACTTGCTGGCCAGCTATCGTGTCTGTCGTGCTCTGAATATCCAACAAGCCAGCCCAAGCATGATTTGTCTCCACGAGACTAAGCTAGACAGTGTTGGCATATTTTTGGCCTTGGAATTCCTAGGGCAGAGCTGCACGGGCTTTGATTTCCTGGCTGCTGATTCCACTCGTGGCTGTGGGATGCAATCCATGACGGTGTGGGGAACCAAAATGGCCCACAGCTTGGCGATTTTGACATTATGGTGCATTTGGAAGCGGAGGAACGCGGTGGCTTTTACGAGCTACCAATGTACGCCGATGCAGGTGTTTGCTGTGTTCAGAGATGAATGCTCCTTGTGGGCTAGTGCTGGAGGGAGGGTCCTGATAGCTGTTGCAAATAATTTAGTGAGTAATTAGCTTTTGTATTCCTAACCCCTGTAGCGGTCTGCTGCAGGGGGGGGCGCTCCTCGCGCATCATGTTGTGAACTCTATCTCTCTTATTGATATAATGCCGGGCAACCGGATCTTTCGGGAAAAAAAAAAGAATGTAGACACTCACGAGTGAGTTTAGTTTCTATCAGAATGTAGACACGATATTTTAAATTGTTCTTGTAAAACAAACAATACAATAAATTGGCATATTTCTTCACTTCATTGATTAGCTTGTTCCTACATAAACCAGCCATACAAGCAATCAACTGGAAATCACTAGTGATTCAGTCAGGCTTTTGAAATCCTTCACACAATTTGTGTTGTGTGTGGGGGGGTGGGGTGGGGTGGGGGTATTCAAGACTGACCCAAAACAGTCTCTCAAGGTCGCAGCACAAATTCCACTTAAGGGATATATTACTATGGTATGCAGTTACACTTGCCCCATTCAGAACTAAGAATTCAGATGCAAAAGTAAGGCTAACAAAGAACCATACCTGTCCCAAAGCTCAGGATCTCTTGCGGCCAGAATCCTAACTGCCAGCAAACCTGCATTTTCTGCATTCCCGATAGCAACAGTCGCAACAGGAATACCTTTCGGCATCTGTGTACGGTTGAGAATACCAACACAACAATAAGCTTCATCCATAAGAGATCAGTGGCGAAAACAAAGGACCATCATGCATACATTGATGATGATATGATGAATTCTTCGATAGAGCTAAATAACGGACATTTCATTTCTGTGGGTGCTCTGTAACGCTGTTCAATAGCAAAACGTGCATTGTAGTTTTTATGCCAGTGAGATGTGCCAGTGAGGTCACATACGTGCCTGAGTGGAAGCTTCAAAACATCACCCACTAAACAGTGAGATAACAGAAGATTGGTACAGTTCTAACATGAAGCTTACCAAAGAAAGTCTCAAGCTTGAAAAATCCATGTCATCATGACAGGAATCCCCTAGCAGAAATTGTTCTAGAATGCAACTGCCAGTAAAACACTCTATGCTTGCACTGATAAAGGAAATGTGTCCATGTAATGAGCAATGAAAATGCAAAAAACCGAAAACATTAATGTCACCTTTAAGAGGGAAAAATCAGGCAACAAATAAAGCAAATGCAAAGGGATAAAAATTGTACTAGAAGACTAGCCATCGACGAACTGCTAGGATTATTATCAAATGTGACATACTATAATCTGATTTTCAAATAAAAGAATTGCTTGGAACACTAACTTGCACAATAGATAGGAGGGAATCAAATCCTGATAGTGTTGATGTCTTGATGGGAACTCCAATTACTGGGAGAGAAGTCAATGAAGCTACCATCCCTGCAATAAACAAATGATGTTATCCTCAATTAAAAACCAAAAATTGTTAGTTGTTCTTGTTCCACAAACTTTATACACATATGGATCTGGTCAGCAGTTTAAACGAAACACTGCTCTGTTCAGCATCACGCTACATAAATTAAACTTGGTGGTGGTGGTGGTGGGATAGAAAACAATGAGATGATATGGCTCCATCACAAAAATGAAGTAGAGTATTAAATCCTAACCCTAAAAAATAAAATGCTTCCAAAAGGTAAATGACATCAATATCAATAAAATAGAAGTGCACTATCACACACACACACACAGTGACTTGAAATTTACGTTGAAACATCATATCATGGTTAATCCATTGTGTGTTTTTATACTTGCCTGGTAAATGAGCTGCTCCGCCTGCACCTGCAATTATGACCTCGAAACCTCTGTCTTTAGCAGACTTCACATAATCATACATCCGCTCTGGTGTACGATGTGCAGAAACAATAGTTTGCTGAAAAATCCAGGCATCCACAATGTTACACTCTTCTCAAACATGACTTGGCATGCGAGCAGGCCACAGCTTGTCAAGAGAAAGGTTTCAGATATCAAACCTCACAAGGTATGTTGAACTCTTTCAAAACTCTCTCAGCATCTTTCATCACAGGAAGATCAGACTGAGATCCCATTATAATAGCGACACGAGGGCTAACTGCAGCAAAGATTACATCATTTCAGCATCTCCAAAAATCAACTGAAATGAAAGAAAAAAATAAAGTTTTTTTTCCAAATAAAGATGTAAAATCAGGTCAAAAGCGTGAATAGTTTCACAATGACAGGTGTAAATTGTAAATAAATTAGCATGTCCACCACAACCATCAACAAAAGCAGCAGCAGCAATGATGATGACAAGAATTGAAAGCATAAGTCTTGTGTTTATCTACCTAGGATACTTATCTAGAGTAGTTGGTGGCTGTGTCAGCCCTTATCTTTATCCTTATCTTGCTTTAGCATCTACTTTTAGTATCTCTAGAATATGTTGTAGCTTTCTTAAGTTGCAAGCAAGCTATCCTATATGTATCCCCAACCTGTCATAGTTGTGGCAAGGCTAATGAAACTAAAATTCTAGCCCCAAACCTGTGTTTTGGTTCTAACAAATGGTATCTAGAGCGTAGTTTCTTACCTAGGGTTTCCCCTTTACCAATCCTCAATCCGATCGCCATGTCCATCCGGTCCAATCGCTCCCCTTCCCTCTCCCCCCACTCCTCCCATGGCTCCACCACCTCCAGCGGGCGGAGCAGGCACTCGGCGGCTGCGGCTGGCGGCGCAAGCGAGCTCGACGCGGCTGCTGTGGTGCAGGCTGCGCGGGACGCCGAACACGCGGCTCGGGCGGCTGCGCGGGAGGCGAGCCGGGCGCGCGAGGAGGCAGAAGCGCGGGAGCACGCAGCTCCCAGGGCAGCGCGACTCGCGGCTGCGAAGGCAGAGGCCGCGCGCGACGCGGAGATGGCCAGACAAGCCGCGGCGGCCGCGGCGGCCGCGTCGGAGGAGGACGACGCGGACTGGGCCGACCTGGAGCGTGCGGACGAGGGTCGCGCTGGACGCGACGTCAAGCGGGCCAGGCCCGATGCGGATGACCTGGACGGCTTCGACTACCGACGCGGACGAGGCCGGGACGCAGACACGGCGCGGGACGCATGGACACGGAACCGCGGCCACGACTACGACACGGGCGGCTTCGACGACCACCGCGGCCCAGCAGGCGGGCGTGGCCTCGACGATCCAGCAGGCGGACGCGGACGCGACCGCGACCTGGATGCGGATGCATGCGACGCGCGGGACGCACGAGACCTGCGCCGCTTCGACGGACGACGCCGCGACTTCGACCGGGATGAGCGGGCGGCATGCGACGCCAATGCCTGGCTGGAGCGGGAGGAGCGGCGCGAGGCGCAGGACCTGGGCGGACGGGACGCTAGAGCACGGAGCCCTCACAGGCGGCGCGCCTCCCCTTCCCCGGACCGGTGCCGTGGTCGCCGTGGCCGGCCCGGCTCCCCTCCCGTCGTGCAGACCGTCGTTAAGGACGCCGGCGGATGGCCCATGCTCACCAAGACCAACTACGCCGAGTGGTCCATGGTGATGAAGGTAAAGATGCAGGCGCGGCGCATGTGGGACATGGTACGGTACGGCGACACCGACTTCGACGAGGATCGGCGGGCACTGGAGGCGCTTCTTGCTGCTGTTCCGACGGAGATGCACTCCTCCCTCGCGAACAAGCGGACCGCCAAGGACGTCTGGGACGCCATCGCCGCGGCACGCATCGGCAGCGACCGCGCCCACAGGTTCACGCTTCAGAAACTGTGTCAAGAGTGGGAGAACCTAGCTTTCAAGCCGGGTGAGGACGTCGACGACTTCGCTCTTCGCCTCAACACCCTGATGCAGCAGTTGGCGCGGTACGGCGACAACGACATCGACGAGGAGAGAGAGCTGTCGAGAAGTTCCTCCGCGTCGTCCCCAAGAAGTACTCGCAGGTCGCCATCGCGATCGAGATGTTGCTGGACTTCTCTGAGCTGTCGATCAAGGAAGTGACGGGTCGCCTCAAGGACGTCGACAACCGCAAGCAGCTACCTCCCTCAGAGCCGGTCACCATCGGTGGCAAGCTTCTCTTCACCGAGGAGCAGTGGCTCGCCCGCCAGCAGGAGCGGAAGATGGGGGGGAGGCCTCGGGGTCTTCGGCTTCGGGTTCGTCGAGCAGCCACAAGCGTCGGCCGCGCAAGCAGGACAAGGCGCGTGGTGGCGTTCCTGGCGGCGCCGACGGCGAGCGCAAGGCTACCCACGAAGAACTGCGGGAGGACTGGCAACTGGGCCAAGGACTGCCGGCAGGCGAAGCGCGGCGATCAGGCACATGTCGCGCAAGCGCAGGAGGGTGACAAGCCGGCTCTGTTCTTCATACACAGGAGCACCAAGCCGCAATCCTCTCCCGCGTCGGCCGCCGCCGCGCTCCTCCACCTCGATGAGCCGCGCGCTCACGTCTTCCTCGGCAACGGGTCCGGCGGCGACAAGATCGACGGGTGGTACCTCGAC